TATTTGCCCTCATTTCTACTCAATAATCACTTCTTTAACCTCCATATCATATTCTCCTTAAGAAATTCAAGAATCATACCCAAATTTTAACATGTTACAAATCCAATTCTAATACTCCATACATGTTAATTAGATTGATGACAAGTCAAATTCACTCTAAAACCTCATTAAAGAACCCTCTTTCAAGATTTCACTTATTCCTCTTTTTTCTTTAATCCCCTCTATTCTCTTCATCTTATTGTTTCAAGATAATTTAAGCTCTTCTTATGCTTAATTATCACCTAATAATCAAAACTCAACCTTAAATTTCAGCTAATAATCAACAAATAAAGAAACTTACCTTTGCCTAGCTTGAGCACGTTGGAGAAGAAGAAAGCAAGTGAAGAAGAAGAGAGTTTTCATCTTCCTCTCCCCCACGTGTTAATCTCCTAATAAAAGGGATAAAATATCTTTCCTTATCAATTGACCATTTTACCCTTGACTTCATTTAATAATTACCAACAACTTTTATGATTTATTTCCAAATAAATCATTGAACTAATCCATGGTTCTACTCTAGTCACCAAATTCTGAAACTTTACAATTTGATCACTAACCCGGTATTGAGGATGTTACAAATCTCCCCTCCTTTAAAGAAAATTCGTCCTCGAATTTTCACTGAACATATCAGTAAGAACATATATTCTAATGTTCTCATGCTACTTCCTTTACTTAATCTTTCCTTCCTTTATTCCATTATTCCTTTATTTGTTCCAAATTGAAATCTCCTTATACATAAATCATATATTTCCTTTCATATTCATATACTATTATCTTATCACCTATACTCATCTCTATCTTTTCCTCCAATCTTATAACTCTATCACTTTTACTCTAATATATAGTCAATAACATCTGTTCAATCTAGGGCACAAACCCTAGTCAACCAATCATATACATCCTACCTTTCATCATTTCTTAATCTTTGTTTGTACTTTAATACACATGATCTTTTCATATTACTTTATACTTCTCTTTCAATCCTTACTTTCCCTCAACCATAAGTATCGTTATTTCCTTCACTATATCTCATTCATATGATCAACATATTTTTCAGCATATAATCTCGTTAGCCAACGCTAACTCTTTCTTCTAGAGTACAAACCCTTATCATATCCACACTCTTGCTTATACACCATACTATTTCTTTGTTTCAAATCCATAACTCTGATTTCATTCATTTTATAAACGTATCACTGATGCACTTATTGTTAAACTCTTCTACAATTCTAACCACATCATTTGATCTTTTAACGTTCTTATGGTGACATTTGTCCATCATATTCTAGCTTTCTCTCATAATAACGAAACTTCTCAATTTAACTTCTCCACTTTAGAGAAATAACAACCATCTAACATTATCTTCATATCATTTATTCAAAGGTCTGTAACAACAGAACATTTCTCGAATTCACCCTTGAACTCAGGTGCTCTTAACTCTTTTAACTATTTCTATACATTCATTCAACATCATGAAACATTCTCTAATCTTATACAGGCATTCCTTGAGGTTTTCGCTCTTCTCCCAGCCTGTCCAGGGCAGGTGAATGCTATTACCTTCAGGTCTATCGCCTTGTGATTTACTTTGGAAGCTCTCATATATTCATGTGCTCATATTATTTCTTCTATCACATATCACGTGTGCATATGATCATCCAATTCATATCATATATCATATATATCTCCTAAATCATTCTCAAATATTCACTTATCTTATATAACATAACAATTTAACTCTATTAATAAGACAACACCCTCCTTACCTTATCAGATCAGAAATTTTCACTCTATATTGGCATGTACACATTTTTAAAACTCATTTGACTTCGGTTTAAGCCTAGAATCGGCTAAACCTTAGCTCTGATACCATTAAATGTAACACCCCCAACCCGTATCCGACCCGGATCCGAGTCTGAGGTATCACATTGACTTTTCAAAACTTTTGGTTGTACAAAATTAATGAATAATTTAAAACTTTTATAACATATAACTTATTCAAAACTTTTACAAAACTATTCAGAGCTTATACAATACATTATTTTGAATACATGTCAACTAAAGCTTTAGTTGTTAACATACATATTGTTCATCTTTATTCTAATCTAACCTTCGGTAAGGAGAACTGACTTGTCTTGATCCACATTACTCCTTACTCTTCTCACTTCTGTAACCTACGTGTGAAACAATCACACGCTAAGTCTATGACTTAGTGAGGCAATAAACATATAATATAAACATTTACTAGTAATCATTTCTTACAACTCATATACTGTTATATGTAACAAATACATACATACATACATACATATATGTCATTATCATTCATATCTCTTATCTCCTGTTCCTATGATCTTTTATGTCCACATTATATATCTGATAGACTTGTTATTATATCATCATATCAATCAATTATACTCATTCACATATACCTTAACATGTACTCACGTATGCCATATAACATATATATATATATCATGTTAGGTAAAACATATATACTATCGTAAATCAAACACACAAGCAACTATATCATCATCATCATTCTTATCACTATCATTGATTTCTTTTATCATATAATCTTATAATTACCATTTGTACCATCATATATCACACATAACATTTCATAAGAAAACAAACATATCATCATATTCAGTTTATTAATATTATCTCTTTATTAACCCATGGTACACATGTGAGAACTGTAGATACGTGAGTCTATTGAGGTTGTGCACCACTATGCTGTCACCACAGCTCGTATAAATGTCCCGAAGGACCTATCCAGAGGTCAAAAAGACCCCGATAACTATCCAGAGGTCATAAAGAACCTCAAAAATTATCCATAGGTCCCGAAGAACCTAAGTAAACTGTCCATAGGTCCCGAAGAACCTAGGTAAACTGTCCATATGTCTCGAAAGACATAGGTAAACCCTCGACTCTTGGCATGCCAACTATACCCCTAGCTCTCATATCACATAACATGGCATTATCATTTATAACATTTCATATCACTTGTTATTTCTCTTCTGTCACATACCACATGTATGTGTAACCATATATCTCATATCATATCACATGTATCACAAGTGCATGTATTTACGTAGATCGTTTCATATGACTTATATCATTTCTCATTTGTTCATGTAACTCGCATGTCATATCATGTAACATATACACATATACCCATAACTTCATATCACATACTTATATCAATTCTCACTTAGTCACATGGGTCATTTCTCATAACATATATCACATCACATATGTTCATGGGTATATCCCATATCATATAAAATAACATATAAACTTATATATGTATTCATGTGTATACTTTCATCTAGCCTATATATCAATGTCATATAACTTATCTCATAACTTATTTGATATTCATATATATTCTCATCTTATAACTTATATTACCTATGAGCTATTCTTATATTACCCTATATCAACCATACTTTGTTTATCTCACTTTTCATATCATTTATTTATCACATATATGTCACTTTGCTTATAACACTTCTCTGGTTTTCATATGACATGTAAATCATTGTCATCTCTTGTTCTCATATAATTCTGTATAGTCACTTATCACTTATCACATAGTTTACATCCTATGATCATATAATCATATCAATAACACATATACTCATGCACACATATAAATCATAGAAAACACATACCTCTATGAATTCATGCATTTTACTATTGGAAATAGACTTATCATAAGTCTTATTTTCCATTTAACATCATATACTAAATAATGTGCACCCACCTTGGCCTCACTAAGTTTCAATCACTTTATGATTTCCTCTCTTCCGATCGAATCTTAACTACACAACCTGGAACTTGTTCGTGTTCGATATCTACATAATTATATATTGATACATATCAGTATCCCATTGTTATAATCTAATCTATCATTTCTTAGACCAGAAGAAATGTCTATTTCAATTTCCCCTTGAAGTTCATCGATGCATTCTTTAACATGTGCATCGATGCACTACCCATGCATCGATACACAAATTACCTTCGATGTTTTCATTTTAAAGGGATGCATCGATGCACTCCTTATGCATCGATGCACCATTTGCATTCGATGTTTCTTCTTTAAATAGTGCATCGATGCACATTCAATGTGCATCGATACACCTTGCCTAGAATTTGCATTTTAAGCCCGAAAATCCATTTAATTCAACTCAAATGCTTCATATTTCATCCCCTTTCATATTCCTTACTTACATATACATATTTGCCCTCATTTCTACTCAATAATCACTTCTTTAATCTCCATATCCTATTCTCTTTAAGAAATTCAAGAATCATACCCAAATTTTAACATGTTACAAATCCAATTCTAATACTCCATACATATTAATTAGATTGATGACAAGTCAAATTCACTCTAAAACCTCATTAAAGAACCCTCTTTCAAGATTTCACTTATTCCTCTCTTTTCTTTAATCCCCTCTATTCTCTTCATCTTATTGTTTCAAGATAATTTAAGCTCTTCTTATGCTTAATTATCACCTAATAATCAAAACTCAACCTTAAATTTCAGCTAATAATCAACAAATAAAGAAACTCACATTTGCCTAGTTTGAGCACGTTGGAGAAGAAGAAAGCAAGTGAAGAAGAAGAGAGTTTTCATCTTCCTCTCCCCCACGTGTTAATCTCCTAATAAAGGGGAGAAAATATCTTTCCTTTTCAATTGACCATTTTACCCTTTACTTCATTTAATAATTACCAACAACTTTTATGATTTATTTCCAAATAAATCATTGAACTAATCCATGGTTCTACTCTAGTCACCAAATTCTGAAACTTTACAATTTGATCACTAACTCGGTATTGATGATGTTACACGCCTATACATGGATGGCGTCATATTGGATTACCAGATCAGCGGTTCTTGACATCATCATTTTAGAACCAACCGAATTGTTTCTTACCCCATAGTAAGCTTTGATCTCGGTTCTCAAAATTCTATCCAACTCGCTTTTCTCGCGTTCGGTTCAAATTCAAATTTCTCTCTTGCATCCTTCTGCGATTATCTCCAAAGGTAGCAGTAGTAATAAAAATGATAATAATCTCTATTTTGATTTTCGATCTCGCAAGTGTTGTATGTAAGCACTTTACTGGATTCTTTCACTTTGCTTTAGATGTCAGGCTTTGAAACGATTTCATTATCTTTTAGATTTCGTTTGGTTAAGAACGATTCGTGGCTTGATTTCCTTATTTACTAGTTCATTAAATGGCTTTTGTGTCATGTTTTGAGAATTTCTTTTGCTTTCCTTTCTGATCTGAATATTCCTCCAATGAACTATTCTAGATCTATTGTTTATATTTGATTTTAAAAGAAAATTCTCGATGAGGTTTATGGAAATTTCTTCATGGCATAGATTTTTCGCACCTCTGCCTTCAGATCTATTTGATATGTTGAATTTGAGTATTGATGTATATTTCAGTTTTCTTTGTTTTTTGGTTGGATGGAATATAATATATGTGAATTTGCATTATATCCAGGGATCAACAGGTAGAGAAGAGAAATGGGACTGGCATTCACAAAGCTTTTCAGCCGACTTTTTGCCAAGAAGGAGATGCGAATTTTGATGGTGGGCCTTGATGTAGCTGGTAAGACTACTATCTTGTACAAGCTCAAGCTTGGAGAGATTATCACCACTATTCCCACCATCGGTGAGCGCTCTTATTCCAAATCCTTATTCTTTTTTTAATCTATGGTTTAGGTGATTATTTTTAAATTTATATTAGCATTGTGTCAATTCTTCTATTCCTATGATTGTTTGTCGTTCATTTGGAAAATGTATGTCGTCAATTTTCATGTACTCCATGGCAAAGACTAGCTTGCAAAACAGGTAACACCTCTCTCTATTTCATGTCTTTCTTTTTAGAATTTAGTGTTTTTGGTCCTATGGGACTTATAGTTGCACCTCGAGTACTGGATTTCATTCCAAGATGGGATTACTTGGCAAGTTGAGCTTGTGATCCAATAAGATTCCTATCTATGTTTATTCCATCATTAATGTTTTTGTAAGAGGTTTGAACTTGAAAGTTCTCTAAACAAAACATTTACTAACCAAATGCAACCAAAATAATCTCTACAGCTAAAGTGATGGAATAGTATGAATGTGCAAAAATATTTCTTGGGAGTAATCATAAGATAGTAAGAAACACTGTTTGATTAATCTATATAGTTCCCTATCATGCTCTAAGATCAAGGACTTGGCAGAAATCTGCCGTTGGGTTTGAAAAACTAGAAACTGCTTACTAGCTACCTAGATTCATATAAGAACTTATAATCTTAGGAACTGAAACTGATTTTCCCCAGCATTGGAATGGATAGGAGTTTTAGGCCCATATAGTGTGATGAACTATAGTTTATCTAAACTTTTTGTGCCCAGTGCCCCTCTTTCCTTTTCTTGTTTTGTCCATCTGGCACATGGAATAGATTTATATTTTATTTATTATACGGTACACGTATATGGGCATAAAATTATTATCTCATCTAGGGCATTAAAATTCATTGGTCCTCCCTGGGGAGGTAAAAGATTTCCTAGTAATTAGGAAGGATATATAAGTCATTTAGTAGCTTGTCTCACTGCAAATTCAAGGGAGAAACGATATGATACCGACAGGAGCATTCGGGATATCGGCCGGAATCCACCAGCTCGAGTTGGAGTCATCGGAATCAGACGACGCCAAAATGATCATACCAACTGATTTTTTTAAATTTTTATTTTGTTTAAGAGGTTTCCCGCTTTTTCTTTATTAGCATTGACATTGACCGTTTGATGACGTAACTTAACGGGCCTTTAATAGAGGTGTAAATTATATAATTAAAAAAAAGCCCAAAATACAGATCTTTATACACTCTCCATGCTTTAATTTTGTTATTATTAATTTTTATATTTTCTAATACAGTAGAAACTATGCTATGAGGTCTGACGTGGAATTTAATAAAATATAATTCACTTTGTGAGATTGAGCTACAAATTTCTCTCAAAGGATAATAATATTTCTATCTTTTAAATAACGGATAAATTACACGAATAACTATATACTTATGAAAATATTCTTTCTAATTAATGATCCATTAGTTTTTTAATAAGATAATTAATTATGTATAAATGATGTCAATTAAACTATCTACCATTATTTGATTGAGTAGTTGATGTGATATTTAAAAGGATTTAATATGTTAATTATACATCTAGTTCTCATTACTTATAAATCCTATCAATTTAATCCTAATTTTAGAATTGATGAACACGAAATGTAAAACAATTCTTTTTACTGTCACTTTATCTCATCCATCAATATTAACGTCTGTAACTTAATTGAAATTATTTAAATTATTAAGTGATCTGATTAAAAATAGTTAACATATCAATAACTATATTAGAATCCTCCAGGGTTAAGTGGCCATCCATGTAATTTATACTAAATAATACAAGTTTGGGTTTCAATTTTTAGAATAAAATTCAAGATAAACTGATTGATGATTTTTTTATAATTAGAAGAGAAAATTAATTATCAAATTAAAATAAAAAATTAAGTCCGGAGATTTAACAAAAGATCTGGACATGGCTTTGATTCACTAAGGCCCAGAAGAATCAAGATCTAATGATCTTTAAAAAATATTTAAAAAATATTCACGAAGGTATTTGTAGAAGCCAGAAAATTTCGAGAGCTAAAGCAGCGAAGAAGCAGAAATGGATTTTAGCTTTCTCAACGAGGCCCTGGCCTCCAAATCCTTCGATAAGGTCGCCGATATATGCGATTCCCTCATGCTTCAGGTTCCATTTTCTTTAATTTCCTCTTAAAATCCCCAAAATCCTATGATACAAGCCTTAAATCGAATTTCTGAAATAAAAGCTTTGCTTTATGTTGAAAAATGATAAAACCAGGTAGCTGCGGAGGGCGTTCCTTTATGAGACGAATGGCCTTTTGCAGTTCATCTTTTGGGCCACATCTATGTTGAAGATGTTTAAGCTTCTTTTATTTTTCTTTCTTTCTTTGTATATTTTGGGAATACATTTATACGTGATTCTAGTTTGGGTTTTTGTTGGTTTTCAAGAATATGTAGACTCAGTGTAGGATTTTGATACTTGGATGTGGATGGTTTTGAAGTAATAGTGCGAGGTTTCTTTGGAAATCAATACCTGCTACAGTCAAGGAGAGCCAACCGGAGTTGGTTGCGGCCTGGAAAATAGGTCAAAAGCTGTGGACGAGGGACTATGTTGGTGTCTACGAGGCTATTCGCGGCTTCGATTGGACTCAACAAACAAAAGTTCTTGTTGCTGCTTTCTCAGGCAAAGCTTTCTCGAATCATAGTTTTCATAGTAATTTAAGTAACTTTGTGTGTGTGTGTGTGTGTGAAAAGATGAACCGAACCCTGAAGTAATTTTGAAGGAAACCCATATTTGTTATCTCATATGTTATGGCATGAAATAGGAGTGAAATCGTGTAAAATCTTGCGACTTTACATCTTAAAAAGTCTTATTGTGTACTATAAAGATTTAGGTAATGTAGCAGTTGAGGTGATTATTTTTCTGCCTGTTTTGTAGAGTTATACACTAAGAGGATGTTTGAGCTGCTGCAATCTGCTTATTCGACTATAAGCATCCAAGATGCGGCTAGGTTTCTTGGAATGAGTGAGGAAGATGCCACAAATTGTAAGTATGCACATTGTTTATCATGTTTATGTTGTGAAATTTGTACTATTTTACTAATTATTAGATGTTTTGCGTAAGCATCTTTTATTAGTCGAGTGTCTTTGTAGTGTAAAGAGAAACATATGTTATCTGAGAGGATGACTTATGGATGTAGTTTAGGTTAAGAATTCTACGTTTTCGCCTGTGGAGACCTTGGCTGGAATCCCAACCAAGTCCTAATTATCTGAAAGAAGAATAGGTAGTAGAAAGAGACTGCCTTAGTACAGGCCGGGGACATGTCTGGTTTATATAATAAATCAGTGACAACAATGTCAAAAGCATCTTCTGCTTATGAATTTATTAGAAAGCGACGTCTTTGGGCTTTGAAACTTTTGCCTTTCAAATGCTTGCGAAACATGCATAATGCTTGAGACTCGAACATTGTGGCAAACGACAGCTATTTTTTTCAACCCATTGAAAAGCAATGAACTTGTGCTGTTGATAATGTTACTCTAGGCTAGGATAATGATAATCATTTGGATTTCTATCCAAGTCCAGTTATGCGGATAGTTTAAGTACCATTTAACTTTCCACACACTCAAGATCGTTAACCAGGTGAGAAACTATGGTGCCATGGTTTATGTGGTTTGTAGGTCATAGATTTTATCTGCAAAAGAGGATTGTAGACTGCAAGGTTTTTCCGAACCTCCAACCGACTCTTTTGAGGGTTGTTTTAGCTTCCGTTTGGGATTTAAACGGTCCAAGACAGTAATATTTGATCTTTCCAACTCTTTGAGGTTGTTTACTTGGTGCTTACCAGGTTTTCCAAGTATCCAATAGACCCTTTTGAAGATTGTTTGGGCTGATTTTGGTTGTCACGTGCAGATGTACTCCGGCAAGGATGGACAGTCGATCCTACTTCTCGAATGCTAACTGTGACGAAACAAGCTATCGTGAAAGAGCGGAAACTAGAGCCGGGCAAATTGCAGCGACTGGCAGAATATGTTTTCCACCTTGAACATTAAATCATACTTATAACTTCTGAGTTCCGACTGTTTTGTTGAATTCGAATTCTTTAAGCATGTTTATGCTTTATAATATTCATGAGAATTTCGGGAGCTTCTTATAACTTCTTACATATTTGATGCCTTACTTTTTCTTTTTAACGTTTGGAACAATTTCAGTGAATAATCATGCAGCAACTGTTCGAGCACTTTGCTGTCTTACAAACTCGCCAGGAATTAGAACTAAGAAAGGTCAAATTATTCTCTGTTTATTGTGCGTAATTAATCCTTATCTTTTTTTAAAAAAAAATTAAATTTGATCTCTAAATATATAAGTTAAATTCTATTAAGAGGACGTGTACCATTTTAAGTTGTAGACTTGGTTACTGTATCCAATTTTATCAGTTTATGTTCTAATAATTTAGTAATTGGTCAGTCTATGTAATAATAATTTAGTTTTATTGTTTTTTTATCTATTGATTAGAATTAGCGGCATAAGTGAACAGTGTTTGGTGAACAGTTCATATAATGTTCATTTATGTTTATTTGTTAAAATAAATAAATAAGTATAACCAAAAAAAAATTATGTTTATTTAATAAATGAATGAATACGAATAAAGGTATGTTTGGTTTGTTTATATTCACGAGCAAAGTTGTTTATTGACACATTCAATTATGTTCGTAAACAAGTTTGTTTACTTTTTATTATTTTTTACATTTTAAACATTAGTGAATTTAAGAACTAAGTTAAACCTATGGTGAGTTTTAGAATTTAAACTGTGAAACTTGAGGAGTTTAAGCATTAGTGGTGTAATTTTATCATCTTTCTTTAGCACTAGATGGTTTTGTTTATTTTTTTTTTATTAATATAGGGTAAATATAATGTAATTTCTGTTCAAAGATAATTCTTTTGACATTGAACGCTCACACTCGACATTCATGGTCGCTTGGTTTTGTTTAATTTTTGAATATATAAATCAACATTTTCGCTAACGTTAAATGAACATATTTGTGAACGTTAAGCAAATATGTTCGTGAATGTGCTCACGAACACTAAACGAACGTGTTCGTGAATGCTAAATAAATATATTCATAAACATATAAACGAACATGCTCACAAATGTTAAACAAACATGTTTGCGAATGCTAAATGAAACAATATTAAAAATTCAAACGAATATGAACACTTTTAAAAATAAACAAATGAATACATACACAATCTTCTTCGTTCGAGTTCGATTCATTTAAAACAAACGAATACAAACATCATTTAAGTTTCCTTTATAATCAAGTAACTTTCCTTTATAATCAAGTAACTTTCCATATGAATGGATACTAGAAATTAGAGTCAAAAAGTTGTTTTTCTTAAATCCCTCTTGTATTCTTCTTAGTTTCTTCTTCTGCCTGTATTTTTTTTCAAAATAATTTTTTACATAAAATCTTGATGTTTATTTTATTGTACGATCAATATACTTATTGTTATATTCTAACTCTCACTAAAATTGATAATAAGTTGATATAATATATAAATAATGAAGATCAAATGTATTGTTACAAAAATTTACTTAATTGTTATGTCAACAATTTTGTTAATGATCATATAAAATTTTTAGTTTTAGTCATCGAAATAGATTCCTGCAAGTAATTTATCTTTAAAGGTCTCGAGTTAAACACAATGTGTGTAGAGGTGTTTGTGTATTCCTTTTCAAATAGTTGAGAATATTTCGAATATATATCGTCTTATAATCGCATTGACTAATAAATTTTCTTAAGGAGAATATCCGTCCATAGTACCAACATTTATTGATCGATAATGATACACAAACATCAAGCAAAAGTACATGCACCCAAGTATTTGTTTATCAAGCGGAAGACAAAGCTTGAGCACTTTCCGACTTATAAACACCTACTTATTAATTAATTAAGCAACCGTAATTGAGGAAACTAATTATCTTTTAAAAGACTTTCTTTTTTCTCAAAATACAATTCCGGTGCTTCATTCAAGCTGAACATCGGATTCATAAGCAATTCCAGCTTCCTAGTTACTGGGGAGGGCATTTGATGCCTCCACCCAGTACACCCCAGCGCTGCGACTCACTTGGAACCTCAAACTCACATATCCCGACGACGGCGGACTTGTCATGTCGAAAACCGCCCCGTATGCCCTCCTCATGTCTATCCACTCCTTACAATCCGCCTGCACTGATCGATTTTCATACGCATCAGTATCGTCACAACAAATTCCAATGTTTCAAAGTTACTGAATTTATTACAGCATTTCAATTACCTGCCAAACTTGTGCCGCAAGGATCTCGGTTCTGCCGGCTTGTTACAAGATCACAGTGGCCAAGTAATTGGGGTACTTGCTATGTTCATGAACCTTGAACTGCAGCTTGTAACCGCCGTAGTAGCTGGGGATTCTCTTGTATTCAACTTCGACGACTCCGTAAGCATACAGCTCGCCTGCTTTGTCCGATTGCGCCAGCCTACAGTAAGCGCGGGGGCTGAGGATGAAATTGGTGTTGTCGCCTTCACCGTAGTCGGTCACCACTATGTTCACCCCATCATCAGTTCAGAGCTGAGGGTTTGTGCACCTAACCTGATAGCAAGCACCGCAGCCACTTCCATTTTTGTAGAGCCTGTACGAAACCCCAGCCACATTCGCATCATTCACAGTCCTTCCCTATTCTCCATACCCGCATGCTCCTCCTGAAATTTATCACAGTTCAAATATGTGTCGGACATGGATATTTCGAGCGAAACGAAGGAATTAAATAAATAAACATGAATAGATTATGCAGGAGCAATGGACGTACTTGGAGTCCCTAAACAGTCAGGGCTGCCATAATAAGTTGGTCTGGTCTTAACGAAATCGTCCTGAGAGTAACACAGTGTAGACGAAAGCACGATGATCGACACAAAGCAACAATGAAACTTAAATGAATACCCCATGTTTTCAGCTACAAAGAGAAGACAGATATTGAATGAGAAGCTGAGAAATCAGAGTGTCCTATTTGTAGGGGAAGAGGGCGCTGTTGAGCTAATTGCTATACCTTTTCTCTTCCACTAATCAAGACTAAAGGGTTTAATGGGGTAGGATTAAGATGAATTGTACTGACAAATTGCTATATTATATTATTTGTTTATGCTATAATTGCTATTCATCCATTAAGGTATAACAGTGGAGAAGAAGATGTTTTTTTTTGGTATTCTTATTCCTCTTCCACCTATCAATCAAAAGAATCCCACATTTTCACCTGATTTAACCGGCCGTAGAATACTATCTTTAAACCCATAATATATTTTAGCTAAATTGGACACACACTAAACGGTTTTTCTTCTTGTTCTAATTTTTAAAGTTATAAAATGAATTTATTATAAAATAAACATTATATTTTAGAAGAGAGTGAACTAATAAAATTTCAGAGGGTGAGAATAAATTATCAGTAAAAATATAAAATATAATAACAAAAACAAGAGGAATTGCATAGGTAATCAACTACTATCATCTTAAACATAAACATATGCAACTAGAACAATGTTGCAGTCAAAGACATCAGTCGAACAAACTAAAAAATTTCATGTTTTTCGCTTTTCAAGTCCGAAAGGTTAGAGCATGAGGGTCGAGGGAGCCTAGCTGAAATGTTATTAAATTAAAATGTGTTAATACAAAAATAAGTCTCTAAATTATCTATTGAAAAAACATTTTAGTGTCTAAAGAATTTTTCATTAAAAATATGAGACTAATGTTTCAAACGTTATATTTTTAGGTGTCTGGCCGTCATCTGTCGTTAAAAATCTTCATTAAGTGACATGTGTCACATTCTGATAATTTTGAAAATTTATTTAAAAAAATTAAAAATATTTTTTTATTAAAAAAAGGAACAACCCGTGGCCGTGCTCCCTCCCTTGGCGGAGCCACAACTTGGTGAGGGTGGACACGTGCCCACCCTAAAATCCTAATTTTTTTTGATTAGTTACTTATTTTACTGATGGTGTCTACCCTGAAATTTTTTGTGCTCACTCTGAAATCTAAGTTTTCTTCGATTAGCTACTTATTTTACGTACGGTGTCCTCCCTGAAACTTTATTTGTACCAATACCATTTAAAATTTTTATGTTGTTAACGTATGTATGCCCACTCTGAAAAATATTTTTAGATCCGCCATTGCTCCCTCCCTTCTCCCTTCCCCCTTCCATAGCCGCCGACAAGCCAGTCGTGACCGCCACCGCCACCGTCATCAGCACCGACGTCGCCCCTGATCAAACCCTCGATGGCCTTTCGTCGTAATATTCAACCATTTGACATGGAGAAGCATTCAAATGTTCGTCGGATGTTAAGTCATCATCGCTATTCTTCGTCAATTCCGACCAATTCCAACGTCCATAAGCCACACTACCACCACCACTCGAACCACCCTAAAATTCCGATCAAAACCCAACCGTTCGACGATGACGATGATGGCCTGAGAATGTTGGCGATAGTTGGTAATAGGGTTGAAATGAAAATTTTTTAATCTTTTGGGTTTTTTATAATTTAGTAAAAATTTGAGTTTTTAATTTTTATTATTAAAAAATATAATGGTAGACACCTAAAAATATAACAGAGAAAATATTAGACATATATTTTTAGCGAAAAAAAAATTAGACACTTCGATGTATAATTCATGTATTTGTTTTTGTATCAAGCCAATTAAAAGTTACTAACTCGGCAATCACGAAAATAAAGAATAATATTGTAATGGACTTGAGTTTAATTGATAAATTTTAACAATTGAATTTGAATATTTAAATCTAAAAAATATACATTAAATTCCTAAAAGTAAATGTAAGAAACTAAATTCCAAATATATTAAGAGTATAAGGATTTGGGCCATATTCTAACCTACAATAAATCAGGTAACAATAGTTCTCAAATATATAAAAATATAAGGACTTTGGACTCTAATGCAGTGTTTTGAAAATCGGATCGATCGATTCAATCGGTTCAACCGAAAACCGCTGCCTAGTCAGGTTCAATCTACACTGGTTGAACCGCTACTAGTGCACCGGCCGGAACTGCTGAATCATTCGAACCGGACCGGCCGAAACCGAAAAAAATCGAAAAACCGCCATTTTGTTTTTCTTAAAAAAAATTAAACCAAACGACGTCGTTTGTTAAACGAGCCAAGTCGAACTTGATTGTTGAGCTCCACTCGAACTTGAAAACTTTAAAAGTAAGCTCAACTCAACTCAAACTCACGAGCTAAAAATTATCAAGTTCAACTCGAACTCGAAATATAATATTGAAACTTGAACTCGAAAAGGCTTGAACTCAAAAAAAAATAGAAGCTCGATTGAAGCCTAAAATTCATACTTTATTGAAGTGAAAGAATAGCTCACTCAATGCTCACCAAAAGGCTCTATTATTTTGAATGTCAATTTACCTCTATTATTTATAGAAGTTAGTTGGGATGCTCTTCTATGTTTCTTAGCCATGTGGGATTGTTTTTAAAAAAAATTAAACCAAACAATATCATTTTTGTTATGATTTTTTTAGCCCCAAATTTATTTTTTAATTATAGTTATATAATTATATTTATTATTTAATATGTTTTACCTTACATATTATGTTGTAGTTAATTTGAATCATTTTGTTTCACTTGATTTTATGGTTTTTAACTTATATATGTTATGACTTGCTTTGAATATGACTTGTGATATAAAAAATTATTTTTTATTAGAATTTTTTGGTATTTTTATTTAATTTTTTAAATAATTATGACATCATCTGGTTATTCCGACCGGTCGGACCGGTTCGTTAACCGGTCCGGTTCTGAAAACCATGCTCTAATGTTATGGCAAGATCTTCTAGTGTTCATTTGCTTAAAAGGGATGTTAGGGGAGCTTGGCGTTCATACTACGAGGTCAATTTTACAGATTGCTGCAAATCTAGTTTTCCATGAGAGAATCAAACATATTAATATACTTTGTCATTTTGTAGAAGGCAAGATTAAATAAGGTCTTATTCAAACTGAATATACTGTTACTTAGCTGATGTTATGACAAAAGCTTTGAGACATGAATACTTTTTTTTTTGGATAATTCAAATTTTGTTACCCAACTAGCAAAGTTTGCTACAATCAATCAACCAATGATACAACAAAAGAAATATGAACATACAAAATAACCAAAAGATTGGTTAGGTTATATTCCAAGCACTACAAAGAGAAAGGTTAATACTATCTAATCTATTAATGGATTTGCCCCTTAGTCGAATGCCTACAACATTCTTGATTTCTTCGAGCAAAGCTTCAACGCTTCTCCGATGTCCAAGGAAAATTATGTTATTGCGTTCTTGCCACAAAAAATAAATGAAAGCAGACCACGCAAGCTTCAAAAGGACAGTGATAAGAGATTTCCCTTTCCAAGTAGAGCAAGCCGAAACAATAAAGTCATCCCAAGACATGAAAGATGAGTTCATACCAGTAAGCTGCAGAATAGAACTCCAGAGTTCAGCTGCTAGAGGGCAGTGGAAGAAAATATGGTCACGAGACTCTTGGAAAAGGTTGTAGTTGATACAAATGCCTTCGGAGCAGATTCCCATTCGTTGGAGGTGATCTCTGGTAGGAAGACTATCGGGAAGAACCATCCAAGCTAACAGACTATGCTTGGGAATATGCAGCGGAAACCAGATTAAACGATGCCAAGAAACCTTTTGTTCATGCGTACGGGATATTTCCCAGATTTCTTTGGGTTGCAAACCAGCAGTGAGAAAAGGGGAAGATGTTGTTCTCAGTTTTAAAATCCGTTTTATACTCCAACTTACATTCGCTCCAGCTTGAAAAAGCCAAAAGTCTTGGTTCTTAAGAACAAAACTGTTGAGCCAAGCTACCCAGAGGGAGTCGTTACCAGCAAGGATCTTCCTGATAAGATTAAAATTACAGACCCTGCACCAGTCCTTTAAGTTTTTCAAACCAAGCCCTCCCTCAGACTTTGGAAGGCAGATACGAGCCCAACAAACTCTAGCTCCAGTAGCCTTTCTATCAGCTCATTTCCAGAAGAAACGGGAGCAAAGTTGCTCCACCTTGGTTAAAATAGAGGCTAGAAGCATTAGCTGTCTACACCTATAGTTACAGACACTATAAAGGACTATTTTAATCAATTCAAGTCTTCCTGCATAGCTTAAATTCCTACATGACCAGGACTGTAGTTTTTGTTTGATATTAGTGATTAGAGCTTCGCAGTCCTTATCCGTGAGCTTGCGAGAAACAAGGGGAATACCAAGATATTTGACATGAAGGGATCCAATTTTAAAGCCTGAAATCCTTTTGATTTTGTCCATGATGCCATTAGGAATACCAGCAGCAAAAAGCTCGGATTTGGAGGAATTAAGTTTAAGACCAGAGATTTGATGGAATTGATCAAGCACACTAAGAATACCAACAACCGATTCCACATTACCTTTACAAAAAATCAGGAGATCATCCGCAAAAGAAAGGTGCGTGAGGCCTATTTTGTTGCATTTAGGATGAAGTCCAAAGATTCTTTTGTTTGCTGCCAAGTTAAGCATTCTAGTTAAGATATTCATGGCTAGAACAAATAAGTAGGGGGAGTGGATCACCTTGTCTAAGCCCCCTAGCCCCTTTAAAATAACCAATCAAGGTACCATTGAAAGCTATTGAATATCTGGCTTGAGTAAAACATTCTTCAATCCAAGCAATAAATTGGTGAGGGAGTTGAATAGCTTTGAGAACAACAGAAATAAACCTCCAATCAAGGGAGTCAAAAGCCTTGTGGAGGTCTATTTTCATAGAGCACCTAGGGGAAATGGTTTTCCTACCATAACCTTTAACCATTTATTGAGTGAGGAATGTGTTATCCATAATACTTTTTCCTCTGATGAAAGTAGACTGATTCAAAGAAACAATATCTGGAATGTAAAAATTTAGCCTACTAACAAGGATTTTAGAAATAGCCTTATAGATTACTGAACAACGGGATATTGGTCTGAAGTCTTTGACAGTGCTTGGGTTGGGAATTTTAGGCACAAGAGCAATAATCGTGGAATTAAAAGCAGGATTAATAAAGATGTGGGAAAAGAAATAACGGACAGCTGCAATGATATCCCTTCCAAAGATAGGCCAAGTTTTCTTGAAGAATAAGGGCGTGAAGCCATCCGGTCCCGGGGCCTTATCGTTTCCTTGACAAAAAATAGCATTATGAATTTCTTCATCAGTAATATCCCTAATGAAATTGGTTGAAGCTTCAGAAGGTAAGGAATAGTCAATCAACTCTTTAAGGAGATTTGGATCAACCTCTTTTAAAGAAGCATCAGCAGAACCAAGCATATTAGAGTAGAACGAAAGCACTTCTTGAGACATTGAGTCGAAAGATTCTAATATACATCCACTATCATCCACCAGAACACGAATGATGTTTCTTTTATTTTTAGAGGCAACTATAGAATGGAAAAATTTAGAATTTTTGTCTCCGTCACGGATGCACTGAACCTTAGCTTTCTGTTTGAGAAATTCTGCTTCAGCTTCCTCCAGTAAGATTAAATCCTCTTGCAGGCCAATTTCCTTAACAATGCTTTCCTCACCTTTCAATGTAAGAATTTGTTGTTGCTCCAGCTCTAATCTCTTAAGCTTCACTCGGTCTGAAATGTTGCTAAAATTGTCTTTATTAAAGCTCTTGAGAGTGATTTTAAGTCTCTTGAGCTTAGTAATAAGGGTAGTCATAGGATTTCCATGAATAGTAGGAAGCCAAGAGTGCCTAACAACATTCAAAAAATTAGAATGAGCAGCCCAGAAGTTGAAGAATTTGAATGGTTTAGGCCTATTAATTGGGGAGTCTTTAGATAGCCACATAGTGGCCATACAGTGATCAAAGATACTAGGGGAAAGGAATTCAACAAAAGAGTGAGGGAAATAAGAAGCCCAAGTTGAATTTATCATGACCCTGTCAAGTTTCCTAGCAAGGAAAAACTCTTGCTGCTTGTTGCTCCAAGTGAAAGTTGGACCGAAATAAGGGTGATCCATAATGTCAATATCCTGAGAAAGATCTTGAAAGTCTTTCATGTCAGGGGTAACATAGTTGCCAAGAAGCTCATGATCCGAACTTTCCTCAGAGTGAAGGAAAATATTGAAATCAACACCCAAGGTCCAAGGAGATTGGTTGACAATGTGATCTACTTCTCTAATAGTTTGCCATAATCGCATTCGGGCACTCCCATCATTACTCCCATAAATTGCCGAGATGAAGACTGGAGAGCCCAAGGAAGATCCTTTGATAGTAATACATTGGTCTGAGATTTGGATAATAGTAAAGTCTATTCCCTTTCTCCAAAGTACCCATATCCTACCATTAGTAGCTAAGTCATAATTTGTACAAGCATTCCAATTTAAAAATTGAGAGTTGAGGATGGCTTCAGATTTGTCTTCTTTAACTCTGGTTTCCATGAGGCAAAGAACATCAGAATTAAGAAGATTGGCTCTTTGAACCACTTTCTTCTATTTTAGAGGACTGTTATGTCATCTAATGTTCCAAAAACTTACTATCACTGAGAAGAAGAACCCCCAGTACCCCCTTTACTTTCATCAGGAATACCTTTAACCTTGTCAATTTTCTCATTCTTTTTAGATTTTAGCTCATTAACCAAACCAACAACTCCTAGTGAGGCAACCCGAGGTTTCCTGGAGTTGATTCCAACGTTAGAAATGTCATATTCTACAGAGTTTAGAAGGTCGAATCTATTCTTAGATGTAGAAAGAGAAACCTTAGATTTTTCTTTTAGAGGTCTTTCTCTACCCTTTTTAGAAACTACAGGAATGGTATTAGTACTATTTGAAGATTCAATAATTTCAGTAGAGGGAATATTGCTAACAGAAGCAGCAATAGTAGGAAGGTCAACTGTGTTAACAGAAATGTCAATGTCTGGAGCAGTGACTTTAATATTATTCTTGCATGGGCAACAATAGCATCTAAAGATGTGTTAATCTCATGATTATCAGGAATAGTGGCTTCAATCTCCACTGTCTGAGCAACAACTGCCACATTTGAAACATTTAAAATCTGCTCATGAAGAACTTCAACTCCACCTACTTAGGGAGGAGCTGGGTTGATTTTATGATCGCCTTTTATTCTCCAGACTTGAGGGACGTTAGAAGCAGGGTAAGGTTTCAGAGAGCAACCTTTATCATTGTGGCCATAAACCTTGCATTTCTTGCAAGATTGAGGAATCCAGGGAACCTCCACGAAGATGGAAGTAGATTGTCCATCATTAATAATTACATATATAAATTTAGGAATGACATCCTCTGCTCCAATTTCAACGCAGACTTTAGCAAACTCTAGCCTAGTTTTTGAAGCAGTTATAGTGTCCATTGTGAGAGGTTTTCTAGTGGCACTTGCATTATAGCTAAGGCCAGAACGGTTGAAAAGCTCTAAGGGTACATTGAACAAGTGTACCCACACTGGAATCTTAGATAAGCTAAAGTTCAATCTCCTCATATTGGGTTCCCATTTTCTAAGTATAAGAGGATTATTGTGAATATGCCATGGGCCATTCTCAATTACCCAGTCCCTAGCAGTCTCAGAATTAAATGAGAATTGGCCAACAAGGGACAATCTCCAATCAGAAGAGCCGGCTTCAAAGATTTCAGGAGGTGGAAGGACGGTCGGAACTCCATTGCGAAGATTTGGGGGAAAATATTTTAGGTCATGGGTTTCAGGACCTCCAAAAAGCTTACGCCAGTCCATCAAGCGAAAAAACAGCAATACTAGGAAAGAAACAACAACAACGGAGATCTTGATGTGGAAATTGGACAAATCTCACTGGCGAGTCAGTAGAAATATCTGGTTCCATTAGCCCCGCTAACGTGCACCCAGAGAATTTCGTAAACGTGCGCCATTATTTTCGTATTTTTGTGTTTTTTGTTCTAGAGACATGAATACTTGATTTTCAGTTTGGGCTTAAATTTCAGCCATAACATGAGGATGAGTGTTGAGAATAGAAAATTAGTTTTGAGTTTGTTAGTTAATTCAGCTAAAATATGAGCATCTTCCGTCTGGGCTGAATATGGTCGACTTATTACGAGGAGGTTGCTTGTAGGCTAATGCATAAAATGTAAGCTAAAAGAATATAAATATACATGTGCAAAAGAGGTGGCACTGTTAATTTGTTAGTATTATTCAAAGATTTAACTCGAGTTTCTCCATGGAAATTCATCCTGATAATACTTGGTTTGAAACCAAAAAGAAGCTTACTGAAATTATTAAAAAATTGGATAACAAAGTCATATTAGCTTGACAATGACAACATTTAACCATACTAGTAAATGCTTTGCTTGCTTGATGAGTCATTTCACTCAAATTTCATACTGATTTCAACATATATGATATAAGAAACAAGTACATAGGTTTGTTGTTCTTCATGTTTTAAGTTAGGCAACTACCTTGTTTCCTCTTATTGAGTCTACCCGGTTTTTAAGCCTATCATTGTGTTTAATTAACTATAATTGTGTTTCGAAATCATTTATATCAAATACTAATATCTATAAAGCTTGCCTCTGGCTGATTACTAGATGTCGCAATATGCGAAGCAGTGTTACCATCTTCATCCTTCCAGTTTAGAATGTATGTTTTGTCAACTCGTTTTAGCCATCCCTAAAGAACTTTGAAAGCTCTAACTGAATGGATTTTCACGGCAATGTGCACTGCAGTCTCAAACTTAACTTTGGTTTCTTCGATAGATGATGGACAAGCAAGTAAAAATTCAACTAAAGGATCAGCACCTTCAGTCTGGGCTAAATAGTGTAGAGGTGTAATCGACCCTTTTCCTTTGACTTGGATAATCTGACTATCGTTGACGATTAGTCCTCTAACCATTAAACTGCAATTATCCTGCAAAGCAAGATGGAGAGGACAACGTCCCACATGGTTTAGCTTGCAGTAAAGTGATTGCTTCAGATTTGCAATTTCCATTGCAAAATGGGGTTTCCCTACCTTGGCAGCTTGGTGCAAGGGTGATTCAATAAACGACATCGATTGATATGATCCAATATGTATGGATCCTGGGCAAGCCTTCTAAACAATGCATCAATATCTCCATTTTCTGCCGTAATCCACAACTAATCATCCATTAAGCAATAGTTTATGGGGAGACCTTTCACAAGAATGAATCTGCTAAGATTATTTGCAATATTGACTTATAATGAAGAGGTTGCTTGTAGGCTAATGCATAAAATGTCATAAGAGTTTAGTCAACAGATCATTAACAACATATAAAATATACTTTTCATCCATGTCAAAGATGAGCACACAGTGATAGAAATTGTTAATTTGTCAGTATTTTTATAAGAATCATTGGTCTGAAACAGGGAAATAAGTTCACTGAAAGGAGCATACATAATTATGTATCACCATAAATTTGTACTTACAAATCAATCATGTTGGTTAAATAATAGCAGCCGGTGGCTGCTTGAATTTCAAAGGTAGGGGGCTGCCTTAAATTTCAAAGTTAGGCATCCCATATTTTTTGAATTTAAGCAAGGGTTAATTATTTTTACTCATTAGACTTTAGGATATTTTCAAAGATTAATCCCTAAGTTTCAACTATAAATACCATAGCTCATTTAGCTTCAAAATCATCCCAAAATCCCAAATCATTTCTTTCTCCCAATACTAGAGAGTTTCTTGTGAGTAGTGAGTGTTTTGTAAACACTTGTAAATTTTCTCTCTTAGTAAAAGATCTGCAGCAGTCCGGAGACGTAAGCAAAATTGGCTGAACTCCGTTATCAATTTCGGGTATTATTTTTCCGCTTTTATTTTGTATTCTCACTAATATGGTTATAGGGAAATTACTCGGTTTATTTCCCAACAACTGGTAATCAGAGCTTTTGGTTGTGAATTTTGTCAATTTTTTGCGAGGTTAGTATTTATTACTATTGATGTGAATAGTAAATTTCATGAATAGTGAAATTTTGTTGGCGATACGAATTTGTCGACAGAGGTGTTCTAATACACGACGGTTCACGGAAATTGTCAGAAACGATCCAAAAAAAGCCAGATTCGAGTGGGAGCGATGGCTACAGACGAAGGGAAGGTGAAAATTGAAAAGTTCGATGGTGCGGACTTTGGCTTTTGAAAGATGCAGATTGAAGATTTTTTGTACCAGAAAAATCTATATCAACCTCTCTCAGGAAAACAACCAAAGGGCATGAAGAATGAAGACTGGGCTCTTCTCGACAGACAAGCCCTCGAAGTTATCCGACTAACGTTATCTTGTAATGTTGTTTTCAACATAGCAAAGGAAAAGACCACGGCGGGTCTTATGGCGGCTCTCTCCAGTATGTATGAGAAGTCATCGGCCTCAAACAAAGTTCATTTGATGAGGTGATTATTCAATTTGCGGATGACGGAAGAGGCATCAGTGGCTCAACACCTAAATGAACTCAAAACAATCACAACCCAGTTGAGTTTAATGGAAATAGAATTCAATGATGAAGTTTGAGCTTTAATTCTCTTATCATCTCTACCAGACAGTTGGAATGCTACTGTTACAGCAGTCAGCAGCTCGTCAGGAAACAACAAATTAAAATTCGACGATGTTCGGGATCTGGTATTGAGTGAAGAAATTCGACGGAGATAATCGGATGAAGCATCAACCTCCTCAGCCTTGCACACAGAGTCTAGAGGGATAACTTCATAAAGAAATTCAAATCGTGGCAGATCGAAATCCAGAAGGGAAAATCAATAACAGAAAAGAAATAATTTACCTGTTATAATTGTGGCAAGAAGGGTCACTTTAAAAGAGATTGTCGAGCACTGAAGAAAGATACCGGCGTACAGAAATCTACCAACGTGACAGAGGAGACAGGTGATGCCATGATTCTAAGCGTCAACTGTCCGATTGAATCATGGATCTTGGATTCAGAGGCATCTTTCCACTCCACTCCATGCCGAGAAATCATGGAGAACTATGTCAGTGGTGATTTTGGGAAGGTTCATCTAGCTGATGATGAAACCTTGAAGATCGTCGGAAGAGGAGACAACCGACTAAAGTTTTCAAACCAAACCACCTGGAAGCTGACAGGATTAAGACATATTCCTGGCCTCAAAAGAAATTTGATTTCTGTGGGACAGCTTGATGGAGAAAGTTATAGTACAACCTTTTCAGGCTGTGAATGGAAGATTACCAAAGGAGCACTCGTCATTGCCCGTGGTAAGAAGACTGGTACTCTCTATGTAACCTGACATTTAGAGAATATCATTACTACAGATACTGATGGAAAATCAAACCTATAGCACCAAAGGCTTGGTCATATGAGCGAGAAAGGGATGAAGACACTTTTATCAAAAGGGAAGTTGTCGGATCTAAAGAATGTAGATTTCGGACTATGCGAGGTTGCATCTTTGGCAAACAAAAGAAAATCAGTTTTGTAAAGATTGGCAAGATACCCAAGGCAGAAAAGTTAGAGTTGGTTCATACTGATGTATGAGGACCATCTCCAGTTCCATCTCTTACAAGCTCATTATATTATGTCACCTTCATCGATGATTCTACAAGGAAGGTGTGGGTTTATTTTATAAAGAAAAAATTAGAAGTTTTTGATACCTTCAGAAAATGGAAGGCCATGGTGGAAAATGAGACTGGTCTGAAAGTCAAGCGGTTGAGGTCTGACAATGGATGAGAGTACAGAAATCATAGATTCAGATATTTCTGCACAAACAATGGGATCAAGATGGAGACAACAGTTCCCATGACACCGCAGTAGAATGGCGTAGCAGAGCGCATGAACAGAACTCTGAATGAACGTGCCAGAAGCATGAGGATACATGTCGGATTACCCAAATTTCTATGGGCTGAAGCTATCAACACTGCAGCTTACCTGATCAACCGTTGACCCTCAGTTCCTTTGGATGATAGAATACCAGAAGAAGTTTGGAGCAAGAAAGAAATAAACCTTTCACAGTTAAGAGTGTTTGGTTTTATTTCTTATGTACACATAGACTCTGCTGAAAGAAGTAAACTTGATGCCAAGTCCAACAAATATGTCTTTATTGGTTATGGTGATGATGAGTTCGGTTACATATTTTTGGACTATAAAAATCGGAAGATCATCAGAAGCAGAGATGTCATTTTCAATGAGAATGTGATGTACAAAGACAGGGCAACCATAGAATCAAGTAGCTCCAATACCGAAGTTGAAGAAAAAGAATTTGCTGAGTTCGAGGAGATTTCTGGAAATGATGTTAAAATCAGTCCTGAAGCAGTTCAAGAAGAACCAGGCACATCAGAACTGAGACGTTCCTCCATAATCCCTAAACCAACCCAACATTATTCGCCTTCTTTCCACTACTTGTTGTTGACTGACAATGGTGAACCAGAGTGCTATGATGAAGCAATGCAGGTGGAGGATTCAGTCAAGTGGGAGTCTTCCATGAAAGATGAGATGGACTCGCTTATGTCAAATCAGACGTGGGAATTAGTTGAATTACCACTAGGCAAGAAAGCGCTCCATAACAAGTGGCTTTACAGGATCAAAGAAAAGCACGATGGGAGCAAACGCTACAAAGCAAGATTGGTTGTCAAAGGCTTTCAGCAAAAAGAAGGTATTGACTACAATGAAATTTTCTCTCCAGTAGTGAAGCTATCTACAATTAGACTGGTGTTGAAAATTGTAGTTTGTTAGCCAGAAGGCTTCATAGAGGCAGGCAAGAAAAACCTGGTATACATGTTGAAGAAGAGCTTGTATGGT